ATAATAGAAAACTATCAGGCACTGAGCTCAATTACTCAGTGTATAAAAAGAAATTACTAGTAATTAAGTATATACTGATATTGTGAAATACATATATTGATAACAGGCATGTAATAATAATGATTATGAATCACAAATGTCTTGTTTATCTACAATTGATAATGAAATTCTTCAAATACTTAGTATATTAAATCTCAGAGTTCTAAGCATATAATCTTCATATCAGATACTGAAAGAAATTGAACACTGTAATATGTAGTACAAGGAGTCATAGATACGATTTCATGAGTGAGAGTTCTGCAAATCAGATATAGAACAAGTTTATATTAAACACACTGAGAAAACACAAGAAATCAGAATAAGTGAATACAATAATCTCTTACTTAAAGAATAGCAAGATATCAAATAATAAGTATTTTATAATAGTAGTAAAAGAGATGCTTCTGAACTTCATACTGAGAAAATTGAAAAATAATATTATATTTTACTATAATCTAGAATATACAGAAGCTCTCTATCTGAAACATTTATTTAGACATAACTTAATAACTCACATATACAAGAAATTTAGTCACTTGAAAAGCTCTGAACTCATAAGTGTACTTAAATTAAGAGTTTACTGATTAAGCATGATTAAGAACATTTAGATGTACACTTATAAGTATCTGAATTATCAGCTTATAAAGAAATCTAAGAAAGAGTGAGAATATAAGAAAGTGTAATATCAGATAAAAAGTATAATACAACTGTTTAAACAATAAGAGATGAATCTCTTACACATACTACTGTGAATATTAAATAAAAATCATTGAATAATTACTGCTATTGACTACACTACTGACTGATCAGTTGTGAAAGCAGTTTCAGAGATATCAGAGAAGATAATAATAAAGTTTCTACATAATGAGATCTATGTTAACTATGAAATACTGCATGAGATTCTAACTGATAATGATCTGAATCTCATAGAAGAAGTGATCAGGCATTTCATAAGTCAGTTATAGATAAGCTATTGTAGAACAACATCATATTATCTGCAGATAAATAGAAAGATAAAACACTTGAATAAAATCTTGAGTAACATGCTAATGAAATATCTAGTGAGTAAGTCTATTAAATTATAAGATCAGACTACATGTCTTCTCATCTGAGAGAAATATCAGTGTGTTCTCGCACAAAGAATGAATCAGTATCTATCTATATTAAGCACATTGCATGGAAGAAAGATTTGAAAGAAAACTATGAGAACATCTTGATAAAACAGGGAAAAGATTAACTTGTGTTCAAATTTGTAAACAGAAGCTTGAAGAGATCAGATAATAATAATTTGAAGAAAAGATGTCAATGAATATGATTGATGTATCTACTGTGATGAATAACATGTATAATATGAAGGTGATGATAGATAGTGATCTATGTCACTATACAAAGATTAAATCTTCAGTTGTAAGACATTATTATTATTATTATTATCATTCTTCAATTATAGATGTATGCAGTCAGAGACTATGACATCTACCTGAGAACTTTTAGTTCTCAGAGTTTTTCCTATATCTGTAAAGTTAACTATTATACATTCATCAATTTCAGATATGCAAAATCAGAAAATTCCAGCTCAGAATACAAAAACTGTTTACAAATTGCAGTGTTTTAACATCTTCTGATACTTTGAAACCATTTGACAATATCATGACAAAGGAAAAGAGAACACAGTCTTAAAGATAGACACATTAAATAGATAGATAGAAAGGAATTAAAAGGAAAAGATAAAGTAAAGAGAGACTGTAACAAAACAAATTATTAAAAGATAGTATATAGCTGTTTTAACAGACTATATCTGCTTAATTTCCTCCTCTTCATATTCAGATAATTGTGAATTTAGCCATTTTCTTGTAGCTGCTTGAGTTTCTGATAGAAAGTCTATTAAGTATTTAATTCCTGTCTCAGTTGAGAATAAGAATCTCATATTTAATTAATTTAGATTATACTTCTCTTTCAATCTGACTCTGAGACTATTGTATAATGCACAGTGCATTATAATATACTCAGGATTCTCATTTGCATTGCAGAATAAGCATTCTATTGAGTCAAATCTATCATCAAATCTTTGTATATAAGATTTGAAATAGTCATATTCTAGTTTCAGCTGTATTATAGATAAGAATATTTTCTTTTTACATTTAATTAAACAAGATTTTCACTTGAGTTTTATTTTCAATCTTGAATAATGTATACTCTTCTTTTATTTCTGCCAGCTTTCATTTCACTTGTCTAAATAAGATTCTTTTATTTTTCTCTTTATAAAAGATCAGGACATAATTTTTTGAATAGATCTACTTAATTCTGCACTCTTTTTTACAGCTGAATCAGCCAATTCATTGTCATAAATATTCATATAAGTAGAAACTCAGTGCAGATGAATTATCAGCTTTGATGTTCTTCTCTTTTGAATTTTCAAAACAGAGTTTAAGATCAGTTCAAGATTCATTTGATCATTATGAATCTGACTATTTCTAAGTCTTTTTAAAGCAGCTTAACTATCAGAGAATATTCATGTCTCTTTCAAACTATTTCCTCTTTTATAAGATTTCATTTCAATGAGTTTGAAAGCTTTCACTATTATAAATAGTTCAGCATCAAAGACTTCAGATTCATAGTTTAGATTTCAGAAATCTGAGATAAAATTAATATTATCTTCAGTATAAGCAATGTCTGTGTCTAATCTATTAAAATTCTCATTTTTGAGTCATCTGAATAAATCAGAATAGAGTCTTTTATATTGATTGTAGAAATTCTCTTCAAATGCTATTCATATTCTTTCTTCTTTGATAGTTCAATTATTTGTAAGTCTATAAGAGATTCAAGCTTTTCTCTTCAGAGAGATAACTTCTCATAATCAACTTTTTCAACATTTAAAGAAGAAAATTGATTTTTAATCAGAGAGCATAGTCTGTACAGTTGAGAAGACATTTTCTTTAAAGAATTATTTTCATTTTAATCAAGAAATCTATTTCAATTCAGTTCATTTTCAGAGTTAATTAATAGAAATGAAGAAGAGTGTGGCGGGCTGCGCCCGATCAATCATATAGACTATTCCATTACACTCCACAGATTCCACGTACGCTTCGATCCTCGGCCATTCTCGATCGCCGATCCTCGGCCGCCACCTCAATCAATCATATAGACTATTCCGTTACACTCCACAGATTCTACGTATGCTCCGATCCTCGGCCATTCTCAATCACCACTCCGATTCTCGGCCATTCTTGATCACCGATCCTCAGCTGCTATAAATGTGCATATATTCTTCCACCCTGAAGCTCCACCGCGTACACCACCACATACACATATAAATATCCACCTTGATTGCTGATTCTTGCACTTTCTCTTTCTTTCCTTCTCCAGCATTTTTATCTTTATTATATAAGACCTATAATATTATACTGATCTATTCAGTGTAGGCCTCTTACACTATAAAAACACTCATCATCTTCTTATTAGAAAACAATTATTCATGCATAATCTCCTCATCAGAAACAATTATTCATCAAGAGATATCTGAATACATAACAACATGTAAGAAAGAGAAAACACAGTTAAGTGAACACTGAGTTCTCAGATAGTTCTCAGATAGAAGCTTGATCACCAGTTACTCTGACCTCATAACAAGATCTTACAAAGAGAATAAGATCTTATAAGAGAATATCAGCAAAAGACCTGAGAGTTCTGACACTCAGATGTATGAGAATACAATTACACATTCAACAATCAATATAATCATGTCTAACAATAATATGAAACTCTTGAACATGAGTATAGACACAGTGTCACAGTGGCTCTGAGCAATGTTGAAACTACAACAACAATAAATAGCTGATATGCATGCAACTGAACAACATTAATATGAGGAGATTCAACAATTATCACAAGAAACTCATGCAATTTCAACATCTACAGAATTGAATACAAAAGCACTGAAAGAATGCTTAGATGCTTCTGCATATTTCAATGCTTTCAATCTCACTCTCTACTCATCATGAAGAATGGAAATACTTGTGAAACTGAGTGTAGATGAAGATTTCATCAGTTCATTAATTAATCAAGATTGATATATCAATGAATAATTGAAGAATTGTGTGAAACAGAAGTTCTATTCATGAATGAAAGTATACAAATCAGTGTTGTGAATACCTGACAATATCATGAAATATCTTGATATTTTGTTCTGAGACACTGCTATGTAACAGAAAGCATTAGATTAGTTACAGAGTGTTTAACAGAGAAACACTTCTCTTATAACATTCATCTCTAACTTCAACATCAAGATTCTAGAAGCAGGTGATTAATCTTGAGAGAATTGAATGAAGATTAGCATGCTCAAGAAGACATTAACTTTCAAACTCTTACAGACCCTTATAAGCACAGACAAAGACCAGACTTATGAAGGCTTCTGTACACAGCTTCAGACAATGAAAGACTGTCTTACCAAGCTCAAGAGTATACAGAACAGTGACAGAAGATATTACATTCACACACCTGCACTGATAAATAATCCAGCCACTTATACACCTGCACTGACAAATAACCCAGTCACTCATACACTCACACTGAAGAACAATCATGATGCAGATGTCATGAATTGAGTAGACTTGAATGTCTATATATAAGCAAGGGTCTCTGCTGTCTGAACAGGCTTCTGAGTCCCTGGGATCACTTCTGAAGAAGTCATCAATCAATGTCAATGTGAAGTATGCATTAATTGTAACTGATTGAGACACATCACTTTTAACTGCTGATCAACCTATGTGCCTCCACACTTAAGAGAAAGACTGGCACCTTCATAATTGAGAGAAAGATCAGTTTCTTCTTGTTTGAAGAATGAATCAGTGCCTGTCCGCGCCAATCATATTGCAGTGAAGAAAGATTCAGAAGATAACTACAAGAATGTCTCAATGAAACAGAAGCTTGAAGAGGTCAGATAACAACAATTTGAAGAGAAGATGTCATTGAATGTAATCCTTGTATCTACTGTGGTTGATAACATGTATAAAATGAAAGCCATGATAGACAGCAGTCTATGCTACTATGCAATGATAAAATCTTCAGTTGTAAGACATCATAATCTTCAGCATATCTCTCTATCAAAACCCTGACTCATTGCAGAATTTGATGGTTCAAAAGACATTTGTACCTGTTACATGGTGAAGCTGACCATAGATGTGAGAGGATATCAATGTGAAGATGTCTACACATATGAAGTTGATAATCTTGATTACAATCTTATGTTAGAACTTGCCTGGCTATCTGAATAAGGCATCTTGTTGAACACTTGAAACAGAAGCTTGATATTCCCTAACAATGATAGAGATCAAGAAGATCAAATCAACATTCAACAAGATCCTGCAGAGCAGTATAAGATAGAAGATCTTGTGTGATTGAACATCAAGAACATATGAACCACATGTCCATCTTGTACGCTAGACTACTGCTATGCCAGGTATAAAGTGATAGAAGTCCTAGGTAGTCATAACTACTGCCTTGACACATCACCAGGGATTCATGATGTATTCCACACAAGCTTGCTCCGCCGCGCTGCCACTGATCTGATCCCTTCTCAACCAATCAGACTCTGAGTTCCGTGTTATCTGAAACAGCAGCCCTTGACTGATGGGAACTGCTTCTGGAAAGGGGGGGGCTAATGTGGCGGGCTGCGCCCGATCAATCATATAGACTATTCCATTACACTCCACAGATACCACATACACTCTGATCCTCAGCCATTCTCGATCACTGATCCTCGGCCGCCATCTCAATCAATCATATAGACTATTCTGTTACACTCCACAGATTCTATGTACACTCTGATCCTCAGCCATTCTCGATCGCCACTCCGATTCTCGGCCATTCTCAATCACTGATTCTCAGCTGCTATGAACGCGCATATATTCTTCCACCCTGAAGCTTCACGGTGTACACCATCACATACACATATAAATATTCACCTTGATCACTGATTCTTGCACTTTCTCTTTCTTATCTTCTCTAGCGGTTTTATCTTTGTTATATAAGACCTATAATATTATACCGATCTATTCGGCGTAGACCTCTTACAAAGAGACTCTTTCTCTGATTATATAATTTAAGCTCATCTTTATAACTCTCAGAGCATAGTATATACAGGCCTTTTCAAATCTAATAGTAGAAGAAGAAATTGAAGCGTCAATTTTCATTGCTTTAATAAAAGATGATTTGAATGCTTTCAGAATTCTTCTCAAGACTCTGTTTTGCAGACTTTGAAAGAGTTCAGTGAAATTCTCTTGATTATTTCATCAAACTTGAACTTCATAATCAGCTACTGATGTAATACAGGCTATATATAACTATCTCATAGCCTGGAAGAATAGATCTCTCTCTGTATTTAATAGTCTGATTATGTTGTTCAATAGTCTTTCTGCCTTGACAGTTCTTTATTGAATGTGATATTTAAAATTCAACTTGAAGTTTAATCATACTTCTAATCATTTGACATTTACACTGGGTTTAATCTCTCTATTTAAAAGAGTTAGAGATAGTTCTTTCTCATTAAATTTAGAAAAGAAATGAATTAACTCAGTTTTATTCATATTAAATTGAATTTGATTGATATCTGCTTTAACAAAGATTTTCTTTGCAGCTTGTTCAATTACTTTCAAATTCTCTTTGATAGTTTTTAAGCTGTAGACTAGATCAATATTATTCATATAACTCAGAGATTGCACTATTCTCATATTTCTATTTTTGAATAGATATGCAGTGTATATTACAAATAAAATGAGTGAGATTGAAAATTGTTATAATACTTCTATTTTTATCTCAGTCTTGTCTTATTTGATTCTATTAAAGAAGAGTGATATAATTCTTTTAGATATAAAACAGTTAACTCATTTTATTAGAGAAAGTGACAGTTTTAACATCTTTAATATCTGAATTAACTTTGACTTTGAAACATGATTAAATGCTTCTTTTATATCAATAAAAACTGCAGTTGAGACCAGACTCTTATACTTTATTATTTGAATATCATGAATAACTGAGAGAACAGTGTCAATTGCAGAACACTGTTTTCTATCTCTCATTTATTCACTGAATAAAAGAGAATCACTGATAGAGCTTATAAAAGATACTTAAGTAGCTATTATCTTTTCTAAAATCTTTTCTAGACAGTTCAATAGAGATATTACTCAATATGACTTGAGAATTGAAGTTTTTCTATTAAATTTTATAAGAATCACTTCAGTGACTTCTCTTCAGCATTCAGAATAATATTCATTTTTCAAGAGATTGAAAAGAAGCTCAAAATATTCATTCTTTAAGTAGAAGTATGTATTTTGAATAATCAAGTGATTAATTGAATCAGGCCCTGCAGCAGTCTTAACTGAACTTGAGAAGATAGCTGACTCTAATTTATCTTGAGTAAGATCAGATCATTCTCAGTCATTTTCATCAATATAGTTAAGAAGTGATATATTCTCTTTCTCTGAATCTGAATCTGATGAGTTTTGAAAGAGAGTTCTTATAAAAACTTAATATTTTTTCTCAAAAGAGTTTGCTGTATATGATTCATTCTGAAACTCATATTCTAAGATTGAAAGTTTTGCTACACTTCTTGTTTTAGTATAGTTAAAAGCTTTAAAAACTTCTTTTTCTTATGCTTCTTTAAGAAATTTATTTCAGTAGTCTGTTTTATCTTTTTTAATATCTGAAAAATATTCATTTCTGATAGCTTTGAACTCTTTATCAGAAATTATATCATTCTTTCAATCTCTTCTAGCAGTAGTCAATTATTTTCTTTTAGATATAATATTCTCATTTTATCAAGATTTTGAATACTCAGAAGACTTTCTCTTTGAAATATTGTCTTTAACACTTGCTAGAATAATAGATGTAATGAGCTTCACTCTATTCTCAAGCATTTCATTTGAGATATCTTGATCAGAGTTTTAATACAGCTCACTCTGTCTTTCAGATTTTAACAGTTTTATACTTTCTTCAACTGTCTTTCAGTCAGCTTTTTCAAAGTTAAACTGATTAGAGAGAAGAGGATTTTCACTCATTTATTTCTCACTCAGTTCAATATTAAATTGAATAATTTCATGATCTGATTCTGATGTCTCATTTGAATTAATAAATCAGTTTACAAGTCTTTTTTCTATTACATTTTATGATATGAAGATTAGATCTATAATAGATTTCTGTTTCATATCTTTTCTAAAGAATGTTTATTGATCAGACTTATTAACTAAATCTATTGAATGTTCAAAGATTCATTCAATCAGATTATTAGCTCTTACTGCTCTTTTGCATTCTGAATTTCATCAGAGATGATGTGCATTGAAATCTTCTATAATTATAGAGTTTCTTGATGAAGTTATGTTCAGAAATTCTCTATCAATTATTCAGATATTATTATTTTTCTTCAATGACTTTTCATTATAGATATTTATAAGCTGTATAGTGTCAAACTCATTCTCTTTGTCTATAATATCACTCATCAGAATATCAGGGTCAGATATGATATTAAATCTTAGATTAAATTAATATCTTGATCTCTTTCTTTTATAGATCACTACTCTCAACTTTATCTCAGACTTTTGAGATAAAAAGCAGTAGTAGCTTGAATAAGAAATGACATATTTTTGCTCAGCATTAAAATTCAGCTTCTGAAGTAGTATAAAATCAACTTTTTATTCAAATATAATTTGAAGACAAGAATAAATACAATTTGAGTTTCTATTCATATTATTTTAAATAAATGTAATTTTTGAAGAGTTTTTAAACTTTTTTTGTTGTTTTTATTGTATATTCATACTAAAAGAGAGTAGAGTAGAATCTAATCACTATCATCAGATAGTAGATTATAACTATTCTGAAAAGTAGAAATCTCAACTGCTTATATTATGTCTAGTTTATCATCAGAGTCATTTCTCAATTCTCTAATCTTAACAAGAGTTTGAGAATTCAAATTCTGTTTACATTTAACTGAAGAATTGAAGTTTGAAGATTTAGATAGTTGAGAGTTTCTTCTTTTTAAGCTTACAGTTGTGAGTTTACTGGCTTGACTATTCTCTTCAGTTCTAGATTTGCTTTGAGCTTCATCTTTTCTTCAGTTCTTTTGAGCTCTTGAAGTAAATATACATTCTTTTGAGCTAGATATATGTTTTTCTTTGCAATTAGAGCATTTAAGAAGAGTATGTTGACATATTTCATCTCTTTTTAAGCATGTTTCATATTTATACTCACTAGTCTTGTGATCTCTGGCACAGAATGCACATTTTGAGTCTCTGAAACAGGAGATTATAAAGTATTCATATCTTTGATAGTTTAAACACTGTGTTTGAGCTTTGAGATTCATTCTTGAGTCTTTGTATTCATGAACTCTCATTTTCAAATCTGCTACTCTTACTTCAGAGATCTTTGACTGTTCAAGTATCTTTGTATATACTAGAACAGAGTCATTTCTTCTGCTTTGTCTGAACTTAATTGAATTTAGTTATACAGGCTTAGACTGGCCGCCGGGACCATGAATTTCACATTTGATCTCATTTGGTCTGGTCCCATACATTTCTTGGCGTGAATCCCGCTGGGACTGGCTATCAAAAAAACATGTAAAGTGACTATATATCAGATCTTAAAATGAAACCATGACTTGAAAAAAATGAGAAAGTGGTCCCATTTGGTTCCATTTAGTTCCATTCTTGGCATAAAGTGACTATTTTTAGACATTTTAAGGTTTTTTTTAAACTATTTTTAATTTTTTAAAAAGTAACGCTTTTTGGTAACACTCAAATGAGATTTAAAGTCATTTAAAGCAATAAAAATAATTTAAATTGAGAAGTGGAAATCATGATCTCATTTGGAAAATGTGACAAGAGTAGACAGTAAGTCTCACTGGGACAGTATGAGACTACTATCTAATGTTAAAACCGTGTAATGGGATCAGTCGAATTGGTAATGAGACTATTAAAAAATCTGGTCCTGGTCCCAGACACGGTCACACGGTCAGTTTATACAGGCTCTTTTCTCAGTTGAATGAACTTATATTCTTCTAATTCATTTTTGAGAAGTAGCCTTTCTTCTTCACAGTCAAAAATTTCAACTGAAATATTATCAAGAATGAATTTGTCTCACTTTTCATCTCTCTCAGATAGAATTATTGTGTTTAACAAAGATTCTAATGCTGATTTTCAGAGATTCTTATTCTGAATAAGAAATTCTGCACTGAATTCAGACATTGTAGTTAGAATGATAGAGTTTCTAAAGAAGAATAACTCAATTGAAGCTATAACTGATTTTTGAACTTCAATAACAGTCATTAACTGAGAAAAGAACTGCTGATTAATTTCATTTCTGATTCTGAAAATGAGATTTGAGTTTAGCTTGTTTCTTTACAAGATATTCTGATTTAATACTTTGAGAATAAGTCTTCTATTTCTGAAGATTTGAAAGTTTTTCTTCTTTTGTATTTTTTTCTTCACTTTTCTATCAATAGAAGTATGAGTATTATTCTTCTCAGTTTTCTCAGGATTTTGAGCATATTTTGAGATAGCAGATTTAGAGACAGCAGATTCAGCTGCTTGAGCATATGTTTTCTTCTATTTCAAAGAAGAAGAAGAAGTAGAAAAGAAGAAAGAAGAGTAAGATAAGAAGTCAGTGATTGTACTAGGAATTTTCAATGTTTTTTGAACTGTGTTTGAAATTTCAAGTTTGAACTTAATCATCTTCTGTAGTTATCTAGTCTGAGTATGAAGAATTAACAGAACTTCTTCATTTATCTCACTCAGACACTGCTTTTCAAGAATCTTGCTTGCTTTTTCAAGTTTCTGTATTTCAAGAACTTGTTATTTCTCTATTTCTTCTTTCTTTCTTCTCTTCAGAATTTCAATCTCAGAAATAGCATTTGAGAAAGCATCTTTTTTCACATCAACTGAGTGTATTTTTATACTCATTATTCTCACTCAATGAAAAGTGGATCAGACTGTTTCAATTGAGATATGTATTGAACACTTTTGAAAAGTTGATCAGACTGTTTCAATTAAGAGGTTTCTAAGTCTGTTTTCAATTGAAAAGTTGATTAGGCTGTTTCAAAAGAAGAATAAAAGACTTTTATGTATAAAATATCTGATTTTTTTCACACTAGTTCAGTAACTAGATTAGATTTTTGAAGAGATCTAATAAACTAAAATTGATTTTTAAGATAAATCAATAAAATCTTTATAATCTCTTTCTTAAAATACAGTGAGGAAGAAGTATGATATCAATTGATAATAAATCAAATAATATAACAGTTTTTTGGAGAGATAAACTGACAAAAAATAAATCAATTTTTTACAGAGAAATTGATT